AGATAGCACCTCATACAAACAAATGTGTACAATTATCTTGGTTGAAATTCTAGCTGGTGAAAATGACATGACTATTCTCACTTCATATAGTTTGATCTTTCTTTTTAATTTAATGCTAAGTGTGAGAGGACAGAAATCTTAAAACAACTTTTCCTTGGGCCTCTATTGCCAACATGTAGGACCATGCTGGTAAGTATTTCCCTTTTCTTTCCAGCCCAATCTACAACAAATTTTCTTTCATTTTATTATAGAACATAGAGTCAATGACCTATGTACTAAAAATATCTGCTACACAAAATAATCCATTCTGTTTCACTCCATCTTTAGAGAGGTGTTTATGAACACGAACATGATACATTTTGGTGTTGTCTCTACAAAAATTGCTGTGACAAGTGGTCAAAAGAAGGAGAATAAGTGACCGTAGGTACCCAGCCTCAACTACAAAGTAACTTCTACATCTATGACTTGGGCAGCACAGAAGAGAGAGCCAGAGGAACAGGAAGTCTGCTGCTAGAAATGGTGTCCTAGACACAACAGGGATACTTATACTCATGAAAGCTCAACAATATGGTTGCTTAAACAGTGTGGACAGGAGAATTTTCACAAGGCCATGACCCTTGATAAAGCCCTATGAGCAATCAATGGTCGCAGACAGAGGGAGAAAGAGTTTTCTTCAAGGGTAAATTCCCTAATAGATTATCCAGTCCTAAAACATCAGTGTTATGGTGGAAGCTTTGCCCTAGCCCCTGGCATCCATATAGCCAAAGAGTCTGGGACATTCTGATGGAAGCTTCGCCCCAACCCTTGACATCCATATACCCAAAGAGTCTGGAATGTTATGGTGGAAGCTCCACCCAAACCCCCCTCCCCTATCTCCCTCCAAACCCTGCTGCATCTCAGAAGGCCAGCCAAATGATGACCCCCTCCCCAGAGATGCTCAAAACCACTCCCACAGGGTATTTAAACTGCCCCCCCCCCAGAAAATAGACTCCTGGTTTTTCTGGTGTCCCTTTCCTGTCTCCTCTCTGGGGGGCTGAAAGGCTATCCAGGAGCCTTGCATCCATTAAACATGGGCTTTTTCTAATTCAGTTTTACTTGGTCTGGTTTGGATTGCTGCATCAGAGGAGAGTTTATCCAGGTGTAGAAACTTTTCATGTGGAGTTCCCACCGGCCCAGGGCCACATGGTGGGAAAACACCCTTCTTCCCCACAACTGTTCTCCACCAAGCTTTGAAAGGCTAAGTCATTGCCTTAGAGTCATAGAGTCTCCTGCAATTTTTGGGGTGTCCTGCTACAGATGTGGCCTTGCCAGGCCTCCGACCAGTTACTGGAACAAGGACCTGCCTTGTCCAGTGGGAACCATTCTTTGGAAGATGTTCTGTTCAAGGGATTCTCCCACACACTCTCTGTTTTTGACCCATGGCCTACAACAGTGGATGCATTGTATTAGGCTTTGGGTTCTGGCATAGACTTGTGAAATGCGTACCTGTCATTCAAAGCCAAATGCCCTTGGGATGCCTTTTACAAAAATGAAATTCACAGGCAAATGAATGGAACTAGAAAAAAACATCCTGAGAGAGGTAACCCAGTCACAAAAAGACAAACATGGTATGTACTCACTCATATATGGATATTAGATCTAGAGCAAAGGATTACCAGCCTACAATCCACACCACCACAGAAGCTAGGAAACAAGGATTACACTAAGAGAGACATACATGGTCCCCCAAAGAAGGCGAAAGTGACAACATCTCCTGAGCAAATTGGGAGCATGGGGGAGGAGAGGGCTTTTAAAGTTTTCAATGCCCCAAAAGAGGCTTTTCCAAGTCACAGAGGTCCAGCCTTACCAACACCAGCAGCTGAGATTGTGCCAGTCTTTGAATTACTCTACTTTGAGGAGGACTGATGTGGCTCAGACTTGGTGACTCCCATTGTCCTCTTCTAGCCTAGGGTAACACTGCAGGTAGCAGATAAGTCCATTACTTTTCTTTCAGACATGGGAGCTAACCACCCTGTTTTGACCTCTCATTCAGGTACCACAGTTCCCTGTCAGGGGGATGAATGGGACCCTCCCCTACCCATTTCAGTAAAACCTAAGACTGATTAGCTGAAAAAGCTGCCTCACTTCTGCTCATCTACTTATCCCTCTCAGATCTGATAACATTTGATGACTAAGGTACTAATAGCTCATTAGTTCATTAAGTTAACTTTCCTGCTCTAAGTACAGACACGTGTGCCTCTTTCACAGGCTTCATAGTCAGGGATTAGGTTTCAGATGTAACTTCAGAGGTTCAGAGTTTTAAATTTCCTCTGAGTATCTTCTAAAAATGCCCATGCCTTTTAACCTAAAGCCATAGCCTTTTGCTATGACAGCAGGATGTAAATCTGTTCCAGCCGCAATTTCCTGGGAGAAGTTCTGCTTCTGTATCAAGAAATCTGGTCTAATAAAAACAGTCTCCAGAATCCACTTTTACCCCACCCATTTTCAAGCATATCTTGCAGATTCACTCCTCCTGACTGGGCCATGTCTAGATCATGCCAACACCTGCACCAGCTCCTGGAACTTCACCATCGGTACCACCTCTCCAGGCTTAAGTGGAAACCTACCCAACAACTGGAATCTGGTTTTCCAAGCTGTCTCAGTGAAGGACACATCTGTTCTCCTGTCTCACTCATTCACCCTTGCCTCTTCTGTACAAGCAGGACACTTCTCCGTTCCCTTCATTCTGGAAGTTATCACCGTTCCCATGACTAACCCCATTCATAGGGCCAATGATAACCATATATTTTTCTCCTAGCAACCTGCCTTCTCTGCCACCTCAAGGAACAGGTGTCTGAGGTCTAAAGGATGGCAGTTAACCAAATGCTTCTCCACCCACACCTTCTGCTGAGCATGAACCCATCAACTCCTGGCTCTCTCCCTCCCCTACATTGTCCCTTATCAGTTAGAAGAAACCAGACATGAACCAGCATCCATACACCCAAAGAGTCTGGATGTTATGGTGGAGGATCCAAGCAAGCACCCCTCCCCCATCTCCCTCCAAACCCTGCTGCATCTCAGAAAGTCCACCAAATGATGGCTCCTCCCCCAGAGATACTCAAGAGGACTCCCATAGGGTATTTAAACTGCCTTCCAGAAACTAGACTCCTGATTTTTCTGGTCTCCCCTTTCCAGTCTCCTCTCTGGGGGGCTGGAAGACCATCCGGGAGCATTGTATCCATTAAATGTGGGTTTTTTCTAGGTCAGTTTGATTTGGTCTAAAATGGATTGCTGCCTAGGCGGATTTTAATCAGGCCTAAACATATATACATACAAGCAATACTAGTGGATTATTTTCCTTGTTTTTTGATTGTTTGTTTTCTTTTCTGATTGTTTTTTTTTTTTTTGGAAATACACTTTTTAGACAATACATTCTCATTACAGTTTCCCCTCCCAGCTCCTCCTAGATCCCTGACTCCCAGCCCACCCAAATCCACACTCTCTCTCTCTCTCTCTCTCTCTCTTCTCTCCCTCTCTCTCTCTCTCTTTCTCTCTCTCTCTCCCTCTCTCTCTCCTCTAATTAGAATACAAACAAGCATCTAAAAAGTAAAAAGAAAATAATTTTTTAAATGGGATAAAATAAAACAAACCAGAATAGAATGAAACAAAGAACTAACAGGAGAAAAGGAGCAAAAAAAAAAAAAGGGAAAAAAATGCACAAGAAACACATATAGACATAATTCATACACAGAAATCCCATAAAAACATAGGGGGAAACCACAATATATGCACAAAAGGCCTTGAAAGGGAAAAAAAATCTACCTAGTCTCAAGCATTTTGTTACAGCAACACAAAACTAACCAAGAAAATTATATGCTATTTCAATGAGGATATAACCAATATTAGAAAGTGATTTAAATGTGACTCAGTAACTTCAATAACAACATCATGTAAAATTCAGACTATTTACCTTTCTATAACTGGATATTCTGTGGCATACATGTTGAATTCTTTCACTGCACATGGTACTGAATTTATTCTGAAGGTCAGTGGGTATCACTTCATTCAAAGAATTAAGGTTGGTACAGTTTTGTACAAAATGATCATCACTTTTTGCTAGGGCTTCCAGAATCTGTGTGGATAAATATACACAAAAGGAAAGTAACTTCAAAAGTGAGCACATACAATTTCTCTGAGTTAGCACTGTGGTTGCCAGGGCTTCTGTAAACAGCCTGTAAACTGGTTTGACTTGTCTGTTTGCAATCTCAGGGTTTGCCTCACCATGATGATAAAAGCCTGCTCAGGGAGCTGACTTCAAAGACTCCCTGCTGGATAA